GCCCCAGTGCAACGCTCCCTGCTTCAGCTGCTTTGTCAGTTGCTCGTATCGGCCGGACCCTCTTCTGCTTTCACGCTATCGTACACTGAAGCATTTTGCAGTCTGCGGTTATCACAGAGAAACTTTCAGTCCTCTCTCAATTCAGATGGAAGCCTGACCATGAAATACCATTCTGCAGTATTTACCGTAGCACAGACACTCGGTCTGGGAACGACGCGCTGCAATCCCAAGGCGTATTCGCACTGACACCGCCAGTTGGATAGCAAGTAAGATCGGATCCAAATTGTGAGGCTGGCAAAGTCTTAGATCTTCCTTTGGCTACTGGCTTCGATAATGTGATATTATACTATATAATTGGCTAGGCAATTGAGTTTTGTTGTAGTGCGGTAGTTTGACATAATTACCTTCCAGCACTCTAATTTTTCTTGTACGTTAATACTTCGGGAGTTGCAAACTCTTCAGCATCAACACCACACATTCACTGAGAATCAGAATATTGCTAATTAATATCAAAGCTTTTTTCAGCACTTTTAGCTGGAAAGCCACATAAACGACTTGTGCTTTCCTGCCAGCGGTTTTGCATAAGTTGAAGATGCAGTAATGTGTTTGTCACTCAAAAGTAATGGCTGTTGCTAGACCCAGGATGACAGCAGCCTGCCAGACTGTGAATTCTGAGTTCCTTTCTGCAAAGGGCAAGAAGAAGTCCCACCACGCGAATGTGTTATGAAATAATATTGCATTTCCCTGAAGGACTGCGGTGATAAAAACGCAAAGCGTTCTGCAGCACGCACAACTTTTAGTTATGTGATGCTGGGCGGCACGAGTGAGAAAATGAACATTTTTTGCAAAGAGATATATTTCAAGAGCTTTGCTGTTTACAAGTAATCAAAACTGACAGTCATGGATTATTGGTGGAAGAGCATTTTCTGCTTGAGGTGAAAGAAGAGGGTAATTTATCAGGAAGCCCAAAGAATCAGACATCAGTAATGATCTGCTTGAAGAAGGGCATATCTTAGCAATAGTGCATTTATTCGTACCGCAAGGCAAGAAGATGTACTAGGTTGGTAAACAAGACTCTCGGTGCTTGAAGAATGTCGAGCAGACACGCTATGTAATTTGCCGGGCAGCGGTGATTTGAGGGTTGTGTAATGTGTGCTTCTGCGTCTGTCTCAAATTTTAAAAAAAAATAGAAAAGTTTATAACATAATAGAAGCAGGCTGCAATCAATGGCTGCTTTCTGGAGCCATCCCAACCCTGCCTCTGAGAGGGATGTAGCTCAGCCACATTAATTTGTTCTCTTATCTCTGTTATTAATGCTTGCATTTCTGTGATATTCCTGTATCCATTAAGCATGGAAAAAGCTGCTTTTCCACTGGTTTCAAATAGGTTTTGCTTGCTTATGTGTGCGGCTGGTTAGCTCTCCATCTGGAGTGGGGACCTTGCTTACCTCTCCTCGCACACACGAGCATTACTGACATTTCTAAACCGCGCGCCACAGGTTTCTGCAATGCAAAGCGGGCTTGGCAGCCTGTCAGGTCACCATTTTGTGCGACGCCTGGGCCATCCACGTGCGTAGCACCGGCGCTGTGTGCACCGTGGCACTGGCAGCATGTCTGGACCACGCTGGGAAGCGCAGCCTGCCTGCCCTGCGCCCCTGCATGCAGAACAGAGCTGCCTCGGAGTGGCCCTGCACGCCCCTCGGGCAAGCACGCCAGCATCCTTTACCTTTCCTCACACCCCTCCCCAGGTGCAGGGAGCAAAACCCCAAGAGTGATGAGAAGGCTCTGTTTTCCTCCCCGCCATCCTCTTCGCAAGGCATGTGTGGAGAGCTTGTGCTGGATTACAGAGTCTGAGGAAGCGAAAAGGGCTGTCATTATCCTCCTTCCATTGCTCGTCAGAACTTGCCCCAGACAACGCTCACGCTGACCCCTGCAAACTCCTCTCTGCCAGCAGCTCGCTGAGCTCCTGCCAAAGGGTTTCTTGCCACTCTTTAGTCCCTGGAGGCTGGCGAGCGGGCTGTGGGTGCAGTTTACTTAGCAACGGTGATTGGAGGGCTGCGTAATTGCTGTATCTGTGTTTAGCGTGGAGGGATGCTGTGTTGCGCCCCGTAGACACCGCTGACTCCTCACCCAAACCAGGCAGGTTTCTAACCCAGCGGGAAGCGCCGAGGGTTGACTGATTGTGGGAGGGAGTGCTGAGCCCACGGTGTGAAAAAGGGGTAAACGCCACCCCGAGCACTTTGTCCCGAGGATAACGGGCAACCCGCGCTCTGGCTGGTGGCGTCATCTTGGCATTACGCAGCATACACGTACCGCCCTCGCACCCAACCAGAAAGGTAATGAGGCACATGAGGCTCGGCCTGTCTCCATCCTGAATCAGGAGCGCTTGTGGAAATCCACAAAGAAGCATTGCAGGCAGGTGCCACAAGATGCCAGGATGCAGCGGGCCGTGTCCCTATGAAACGGCGGAGGGTGAGCGGCTCCATCAATGCTTGGGCCAAGCCAGCACGTAGCAGCTTCAGGAGCAGAGGAGGTCAGCTCGTGCATTGTTAGCAGGAGCCATGCACTCCCACCTTGCAGCCCATTGGGAAGGGGGTAAGGTGGCTTTCCTTCTCCCACTCCTTGCCTGCAAATTCCCTCCTGCTCTTGAATTTAGCCAGGGGAGCTCCCCGCCAGACAGATCCAGGGCTCTTAGAGCCGCCTTTTGCCCCTTTTCCCCAGGCAAAGGAGGGGGCAGTCGCACGGAGTAAATAGGACAGGCTGTTCTGCCTGCTGCGTAAGTCAAGCGATTTCTCTTGCTGGAGGTACAGGATCCAGTGCTGCCCCCTCTACCCCCACAGTAACCTCGTGTCCAGGACTGATTGCTTTTAAAGGTTAGTGGTTGTGTAGCAAAGGAAAACTTCCTCCTCTCGTCACCTTGGCGCTGATTTCCGTTCGGGAAATGCAGCGCTCGTGTATCGGCACCGAAAGAGAGCGCACCATGCTCGGGGACGCCTCGTGCTGGGTGAGGTCTAGAGCGGGGTGGTGGGAACGCACGGCGGTGTTAAAAGGCTCTGCCATTTCTCGCGGTAGGTGGAATTAAAATGAATGGTGGCCTGGAAGGGAGCCCGGGTTTGTCCTGCACTGTCTGGCTCTCGGGGTTTTAATCCATCTTTGGGTTCTGGCTGGCTGGTCTGAGAAACCAGTGGCCAAGCATTTGGCTCAGACCAACAAACAGCAAAGCCTTAAAAAACCCAGTTCTGCTTCTCAAGAGCACAGCAGGGAGGCAGGAGAGGGGGAAGGTGATGCCCAGGACTCCTGGAAAGTGGAGAAAGGCATCAGGAGACAAAAGGGGCCATGGAGGGAGGTGTGGGGAGAGAGGGCTGAGCAGGGCAGGCTTGCCCAGGCACCATTACCCACTTGGTGGGTTTAACTTCTTCCTCAGCACTAGCATATCCCTCTCTGCGAAACACAGGAAGCCGGGACCGTTTCCTGACTAGCCACAAGCATCTTCCTGTTGCACCAGTTGAAGCGGCGCAGTCTCGCGCGCAACCGCATTTGCATTTGTTTGAAGGCACTTAGCACCCGGGCTTCTGTTTCTGATGCAGGTACTGGAGGCAGACAGGATAGATGATGACAACGTACACAGTGTACCTTCCCCTGGTTTTTAAATCTTTCTCCGTAATTCTATAAAATCATTACAAGATAGATTTATAACATACCTACAGCTAATATAAAAATGAAAATTAGTCTTGTACCAGTGAAACAGTAATACGGTTTCATTTGCCTACAGCTATCATATCATATCTGCCTTGGCATGGAAGGAAATAGCTTTCTAATGTAGCCTCATCTGCTGAGCAGAATGAAATCTCTGCAGCAGAATGTAAAGCTGCGTCGGACTGTAGCTGGCAGCAAAATTTGGAGCAGGAGAAACATAGCAGAAATAAAAGTATTTGTGAGGTGGATATATGCTAATAATCCTAGTTTATTGCTAAACGTGCCATATATGGCAATGCAGTTGCCTTGGCTAAATGCAGCATTGTTTTCATCTCTGCTCTTAAGAGCTTTATTTTCTGTGCTAAAGTTTGTTCAGGAATAAGAGGTGCAAATTCGTTATTTTCCACCATTGTCTCACACAGCCACAAAAAAGTAGACATTAAGTTATTCCTCGGAAGCACCGGTGCTCCTAGGACAGCCCGCACTGCACTGTGTACCTAGACACGTTTGAAACCTGCAATACTTTTGAGCGAAAATAGGCATTTAATTTGAATGTTCTTGATGTTTCTGCCATCTTGTGCAGTGACTGCCTTTGTCTGATCAGCGGCTGCCGTGCTTTGAGGTTGTTTAGGTAGGAACAGGGATGCGTGCGCTAGGGCGGTGTGTTAGTGTGAAGGGATTGGCTTTCCTGACACAACTGATGGCATGTAGCACTCACCCTGCACCAAGTAGGACTTTGTATGTGCCGCCGTTTCCAAACCTAAGGCAGTAATGAACTATTTCACATGCATGTTCTCATTCCCATTTGGATGGGCAGCTGGCACACAAGGTGGTTAATGGGATAAAAGGGCATGGTTAGGTAGCCCCCACTCAGCTTGGCTAAACTTCCATGGAGGAAGGATATGGACCTAAACTGAAATGGCCTCAAGAGCAATCCTGGCTGCCTGGGCAGAGCCAGTTTTACATGATATATCTGTATAATGTCATACTTGTATGTCATAGCACTCATTCATCAACCCCAAGCCTTCATCAGGCCATGGACTGCCCATCCTGGACTAGGAGCATTTCCCCTCCCTTCCCAAAGTACCACCCCTACCAGTCCCACCCATCCACCCAGAATCGACCAGCTCCATCCAAATCTATAGCTGCTGGCCCAGACAATCCATGCTGTAATCACCCATCTCCACAGACGCCACCGGTATCACCCTCAGCGGATCCCGACCGCGCACGCATAATTTGACCGTGGGAGCGTTGAGAGAGCATGAACTAACTCCGTTCTTCTCCCTTTCCCCTGCCACTGCAAAGCTGGAACGCCACGACAAAGGCGAAGAGGATGCCCCCAGCAAGTGGCGCTCAGAGGAGGACATGGCAGCCGAAGCCGCAAGTCTGAAGAAATATTTCCAGTAAAAACAGAGGTAAAAAACCCCATCCTGAGCAGGTGGCACAGATTAATGTATCCAGGCAGCACCCAAGACTGGTAGGTCCCACCTGGGCACCCTAAAAATGCAGACCCTGTCTCGAGGCATTGGTAGGGCAGTGAAAGCACAAGAAGTGGAGGCAGGAAACCCTACAAGAGACAGACGGTAGAGGGAAGGGGGCACAGGAGCTGCACATGGGAGGGCAGGGAGTTTCTTTGCCTTATGCCCATGTCAGCGTAGTTCAAAACTGATGCTCTTACAGTGATCCCTCCAACACAGGCCTCCTCCAAAGCCCCCATCACACCTCAGAGGCAGATTTAGCATCCAATTCCCAGACAACAAGACAAAATTGATTAGAGAAGCCTGAATTTGCCAGCAGCCACCGCTCAGAGGTGTCTGTCACATCGCTTCCCTTGGAATAGGAAATAGCCTGGGTGTCCACGCGGTGGGTGTTTGTCACGTGTTTGCTGGTTAAAGAGAGGTGTGTGTGTATACTTGTGTATTTTCCTTCCTTCCATCATAAAGCACTTGTTTGATTTCATTCACAAAATTAACCCGCTGAAGAGCCACGTGTCCTGGTAAGTTTTCCACTGGTCCAAAAGGGAAAAGTTTTGAAGGAAAGGGGGAAAAAAATAGAAACTGCTTAGGCAAGCACTTGGATGTCGTGCTCTAAAAACTGAGGTATTTTCATCCCGCGCTGGTAGGCCCAAATGTCAGAGCTTTCCAAGAGTGCTGAATTGCCACCGTGAGATCAATATGAGCTATGCTGGGATGTGTGCGGGTGTAAGGACTGCAAAGGCTTCCTTTTCTGTCTGTCACTTGCCATCGTCGAATGCTCTCGTTCCAACCTCATTTTGTCCACAGCTGTGACTTGCGGCTCCCAGCGCAGTTGGCAAAACTTTTGGCTAACGCCCCACAAGACGCTCAGTGAGCATACGGGGCTGACCTGATATGTATGTCATTGCTGTTGGGTCTGTGTTGTTATATGTTGCTTGCCATTGCTTTCACCCCATGATCCCCAAACTTGCGGCATCACCGTGAAACTCCTGTTCCCGGCAGAGTGTTGTCTTTGGAAATGTGAAGGCTCTGAACATCATTTAAAGATGCACTTCAGCATCTTTTGGACTTCTCACACCTTGTCTGCTCCCTTGACCCTATTTCTGAAAGGATGAAAACTCCTAGCAAATTAATGAGGGCATCATCATTTTCCTTCAGTGCTATTTTTGCTTTTTACCTATGGAGGATTTATTCTGGCATATCTAAGCATCCCCAGATGCAATTTCAGTTGAGTTTTTATTGCTGCCTGTGAGACGGTTAGAAAAAGCTGAATGTAGAAATTCAGGAACCAACAAACAACAGCATTTTGGGTCTTTTGCACTGTCGTTCTTGCTGAGCGCTTGGAGGGGAAATACTGGTTCATCAGGTTTATTTGTGTGATTCCTCTACACCAATTCATTGGGTTGATTCCCAAGGGAGGACTTGGGTACTCACAGCATGGCTGAACAGAGGGCCTCAAATATTGAGAGATGTGATTAGATACCGTGTCCCTTCTGAGACCATTCGATGCATTTGAATGGTTTACTCGTGGCAGGCACGTGACACTGTAAGGTCCAGGAAAACCACGCAGCTGTATTCACTGGATATGTCTCATCTGATGCCTGAAAGTCGACTCCTAACAACGGTCCTTTGGTGGGAAATGATGCAAGCCGGCGCAGGGCAGAATGGAGGGGGCTGCTGCCCAAACGGGACTTGGCACAGGAGGTCCTGCTAGCGCAGGGTAGGCCTGGCTGTGGTCCTGCTCACGGTGCATCCCAGTGTCAGCACTTGCAGGTGTTGTTAGACCAAGGACAGCTAAAACCCTGTGGTCGGTTCTTTCTCCATCACAAAGAAGGGAAAATATCACGTGAGTATAATAGGAAGCTCTTAATGGTCTCCCTCCTATGTCTGCGAGGCCTTGTTCTCCCACAGACTCTCCTGACTGTTGGAGCTGCCTGCTAGCGTGCTTGAACATCGGACCCCTGGCTGCACGAAATGTCCTGGGGGTTGCTTGAAGAAATAAATCCTGCTTAGCATCTCTGGCTGCATTTTATTCGATTCTGGGTCACAGTAAGTAGGTAATTCCTTGCAATGATCGGAAGACGCGGTTTCGTTTGTGCACGTGGCCACATACATGAGGTGAGGCTGAAGAGCTGTGTAGCACAAGTATCCATGCACACCCCTTCTTTCACCATTTCCCCGCACCTCGTTGTATTCCTGCCTCGTCAGGCAGAGTCTTCCTCTTCAGGACATCTGCAACTGCAGCCGGGCTCCTGGAGGACGTAGTACAGAGCCTCTCCATGGCCAAAGTAAGATGACCCACCCTGCCTGCCACAGCTCGGCACCTCCGTCTCGCTGCAGCCTGGGCAACCTGAATGCACAAGCACAACAGATGCTTTTATGGGGAATACAAGTTAATTGGAAAAAAAAAAGTCTTTCTTCGCTTCGAAGGTGCCACGTCCTTGCTTGATATCACCAAGGCTTGGCACCATCAGTAATTCGGGCACTCAGTTATTCAGCTCAAGAACGCTTACTGAAAGGTGCCCTGAGCGGGATGGAGAGACAGAGAAAGCGCGCTTCTTGCGAGGGCAATGCTGCGCGCTGTGTTCCCCTTCTCGAGTCTGTTTTTAGATGCATCTCGCCAGGTTTCTACCCAGCACAAGAATGAAGAGCCTTGTTAGTAGGGTAAATGTTTTGATGTCCTGCTGTCTCCTGAATTTGAAAGCACAGCACACGTACCAGAGAGTAGCGAAGATGAGAAGTGTGCCTACTGACTCTCAGGTGTGATTCGAAATATGCTTCAGTCTGTCTGGCTGTCTGCCTGCCTGGCTGGCTCTCCACGAGCCCCCTCCTTGAGCTGAGAGACAAGTCCCAGGAAAGCTCCCTGTTACACCCACAACCAAAGCCACCCTCTGATGCCATTAGAGCTTCAGCCAACCTCAAGCGCAATGCCAGAGGGTCCCGCTGAATAACAAGGATGACGGTGACACCGTGGCCAGCTACCGGTGGGGCTATATATATCCAGTAGGTTTTAATTGCTTAAACACATGAATATTTTACGTGTCACTGCAAAGGCAGGATCTGCTTTTAAGGGCTCAGAATAAAGCATCCTGCATGCCAAGGGTGGCTGTCTGGTGTCAGGCCTCCTTACGCGCCCGCCCTCGACTTGACACCACGACTGAGAAGTTGTCTTTTCCACACTCTCAGACAATGTGAATTGTAGTCTCCTTTTCTTCCCATCCAAAAGAGAAGGAGGTGCTAGAGGCAGATGTGGGCCCAGGCAATGGGTTATCTGAGCCCCACTCCCCTCCCCCTAAGGGCCTGTCTCAACTGGTGTCATTGGGCACCACCCTTTGCTAGCCCCATGGACATCCACTGAGCCCCTAGCCCCAGCTGGCCTGGGAAGCCCTCCTGTTATTAGGCCTAGGAGGGTTAATTGTTTGACCCTTTTTTCTCCCATGGCTCCTGTTCTTCTTGGCACTCAGTTCTTGGCCTTTCGAGAGAAGGGGGCACAGGGTCGTCATCTTGCAAATGAAGGGGGCATGGGGTCATCATCGTCATCTTCTTGCCTATGACTTCAGAAAGTCGACTCCTCCAACCATTTAAGAGTAGATCCAACAATATTACTACAGTCTTTCAGACTGTTTGCTCCCTCTGGTAGATCACAGAGAGGGCAGCCGGTTAGTATATGCTGGGCTGTCTGATCTCCTTTGCCACAGGGGCGTGATGGTGAGTTTGTAAGGCCCATTTTATGTTTTATTTTATTGAAGGCTCCATAGCCTGATCACAGCTGCTTCAGGTTTACCCCTGCCTTACATGGGAGTTTAGGACCAGGAGGGTGTGCAGATGGTAGTTGTGTGTGGTTGTTATTCCACTGCTTTTCCCACCTTCTCTGAGGCCATGATGTCCCCTGCTTCCTCTCTGGTGTTTCTGGCAGATACTGGTAGGAGTTTTCTGCTTCTTAGACGTTTCTGCACTGAATATTTTTCTATCATGTCTTGCTGTTGGACTTTGGTGACTGATGGCAGAGGGTGACATTGTCTGCCCCCCATGCCAACTCTCTGCAGCCTACACATGGATCCGAAGCCCACCCTGTAGCTCTAACAGCAGGAGCTTGGCCACTGGATATGCAGCAAAGCAGAGCTAACCCCTGGCCTGCCCCACTGCCACCCTCCCCATTGGCCTGCGTGGGAGTGCGATGTGTGCACAGCGTGTGCCCGCGTACCCCGTGCAGTGCGGCCGGCACCGTGATGCAGGACACGCTGCTGTGGCGTGCTCAGAGCACAGATCTGGACGTTTGATGGGAGCAGCGTGTGCCAGTCCCCAGAGACCATGGAGATTCACAAGGAGGGAGCAGGTATGACAGCATCAGCACCATCGCATGCCCTCAGCAACGGCATCCGGGTTGAGGACGCCAGGAATGGAGAAAGGCGACTTGCACCATATCCGGCTGCCTCCGGCTGCCCCTGGGCTGACCGGGTTAGTGTGCAGCGCGAGTCCAGGCTGCAGCAAGGTGCCTTAGCCCCTCTGCACAACTGCAGCATCACACTCCCCTCAGCTCAGACGCGTTTGGCAGCAGGGGAGGAACCAGCTGAGCTCCCCTGGCCTTGCGTGGCAGGAGCGCTGGCAGCAGCCTTGCTCCCTCCGCACAGCTGGCTCATCCCGTGAGCTGACTGTTACACAGACCCCACGAGCCCGCGACTGCACTCAGGAACTGTTTGCACATAATCCCCAAGTAAACATGCATTTTAGCAATCAGCTCGAGATTTCTCCGCACTCCAGCCTTAAGTGCTATTAATTAGATCACACATTCAGCAGCCTCTAAGAACCATTAATTAGAAAGTAGGAGCTGACTGCTTGCTTGTCCATGAGAAGCTGCTATGACCCCAGAGAGTGAAACTTCAGCTCCAAAGGCACTGTGCGGTCGCCGTGAGAAACACCCGTGCGAGCGGCTGTCAGGAGGGCAGCAGTGCCCCAAGCCTGCCACGCGGGCATGACATTACACTTGCGGGAGCTGGAAAGTCAGAAGAGAAGCCCGGCTCCGACAAGAGGATCCACGCTCTTTCCCAAAATTAGTTTTCTTGCTGTAAGAAACAAATAAATACAAAGTAATCCTTTTTTCATTTCAGCTGAACACAAGGGAAGCGGCTAGCAGGAGCAGAAGTCCCGTCGGCAAACACAGCCTGGCCTTCAGAAGTGTCGGGAAAGCCTCTGTATGCAGCCCCGTGTGTGCAGGGGAAAGCTGGTGAAGGCACGAAAGTCTTTCTGACATGGGAGAGGTAAACACACCTCATGTCATCGCCGTGCTGCGCCCACAGCGGGTTTGGGGCTGCTCACGCCTCTGAGTACCATCCCCATATCCTCTCATCGGCACAAACTGTGCAGCGTTCAGGGCAGCGGGTGGCAGCCACCCCCGCTGTAGGGGCATAGGGGTTCCCTATGTAAGTGGGATGTGCTGATATGGACTGATATCTCATCTGGCCGTGCACGGCGGGTCTCGCTCCAGTCAGCGTGTGTCAGAGCCGTGGTTGATGCAGTCCCGTGGCAGAGGTGATCGTTTGGCTTCGCTCTGTTGAGGTCTGGCACTTTGCTCCCACTTCAGTGTCCTGCTCAGAGGGCTTTGCTAGCACACGGGCCTACTACTGTCTCAGCACAAGACTGCTTTTCACCTTCGGTGTCTCCATTTCTCAAGGGTCAGTAATACTGGCTCACCTCTCTATGGTCCCTTGAGGCACCCAGATCAGCGCTTGGAAGCTGCAGTTATAGTTCCCGTCAAAACGCCGGAGACTAAGAGGAAGATAGATAAGGCTGCACGGCTTTAAAGGCAAAGTATTAAGTTCATTAGTGTAGTGGGAAGAACCTCTGAAAGGCCAGATGTTCACACGCGTGGCCAGGAGAATTAGTGCTAATCTGAAATATCGTGTACCAAGTATCTTCAGGCTGGTTGATCTGGTTTCATGCTTGGTTAATCAAACAGACTCAGAGATGAGCCAGGGGAGAAGGGGAGGCCAGGCCAGGCCTGATCGGGCAGCGTCAGGGGCTCTGGAAGAAAGCAGATGGGTGGCGTCCAGCCAAACTGAAGTTTCAAAGACGGCTGAAAAGAGCAGTTGAGGGCTTTTAAATCTGAATCGGTACCAAAACGGTGCTGAGCTCTAACCCTGCGCTGTCCTGGCGTGGGTTACTGAAGGATGCGCAGACCGAGCAGTGCCACCCTCTTCGAAAAAGGTTCGTAAAATATGTACAAAGCAACCGTCAGTCGAGGAGAGGCACGCGGTGGAGGCTCAACACACTTGGGCACCAAGGCCAAGGCGAACGCATCTGCACAAAAGAAGCTGACGCTCGTGTGGGGACTGCGGGCACCAGCTCCTCAGGAGCCCCGAAGGGAAGGCACGAAAGTGCAGCTGTCAGGCAAAAAAGGAGACAAGCAAACACTGAAGAGCTCAGGTATTAACAAAGGGTTTTTTTTGTAATCAAGTTATTCTAGTGCTTTGCCTAGCGTCACCGGCAACTTGAATGAGGCCGCACAGCTTAAGAGCTCCCATTATGTGAGTCTGGATAGCCAAGTTGTGTGGGCAGCCAGGTATAAAATGCTGTTCATGTGGGGAGTTGTGTGACAGAAGAGGGATGCGGTTGGACATGTGGCACTCGCCTCTGAACTGTCCTCCTGCGTCCCCTGGGCATTTGCTGGGTCTGTTCACACGCGGGAGGCTTGGCAATGTTTGCACTCGGACGTGTGAGCAGCCCTGCAGCTGCTGTGGGTGCAGCGTGGCGACGACAACCAACCAGGCCGCCACAAGCCGAATGGCAGGTTGGCAAGGCTGCCAAGTCACGTTGTCAGGGCCGTGACTGGCGGCAGTCCTTAGCCAGGTGCCTGCCTGCCACAGCCATCTGGCAGGTGCCGTATGCATGCGGTTTTGTTCAGGCCCGTGCGTGTGCTCATGAGTCTGTTGCCTTTGCACAGCAGCGCATCCTCAGGGCGCACGCGCATCCGTGATGGTGACGTCACATCCAGGGCACATGCTCTGTTCGTCTGTCCCACATTATGCTGCTGCTTATGAGTCCGGGATCCAGAACGCCCCTTGCAGCCCCTTGTCCTCTGGCTCCCGTGTGTCCGCCACTGGTACACTCAGTGACCTCAGGCAAGTCCCTTCACCTTCCTGTGCATCATATCCCCTGCCGTCCAATGAGAATAACAGGCCTGCCTGCCGCTGTCGAGTGCCAGGCCATGTACAGGGGTTAGTGCTACTTGCAAGTGAGCTTTGCTTATAGTCTGTGTTACAAATCAAAGCAAAATGTCCAGGGTTCTTGCTCTGCTGTTTTCACAGTCACTGCGCACCATCCTTTCCTCCTCTCCAAGTACAAGAGGCTGCAATCAGAGCTTGCATATGCCATGTCTGGATTTACCACTGAATACTTCATCTTCTCTATCACTAGCCATATTTCCCCTCATAACATGCTAAGCAGCATCCAGCCAATTAACAATATATAAACTCACATTTTGTCTAACACAGGCCAGAAGTGTTTGTTGCTTTTAACTTCATGTCTGTTTTTACGGTCAATATTTTTCAGGTGAGACACTGTCTGGAACAAATCCTGAGGCACGCGAAACCCTAAAAAGGACTCGTGCTCTAGCTCTCCATGGCACTGAAACGGCAGCTAAGCATATTTTATTACATTCTGCAAACACCGGCGTCTTCCTTGAAACATTTTATTACACCTTTGGATATCATCAGGGTTGAATTTCATCTAAAACGACTGACATCCTGGTTCCAAACAGCATTTTGACTAGCGGCCTATATTTCCTGAACTGTGTGCTTTAGAGTGAGTCTTTTAAAATTGTCCCTTGGCCTACATTGAAATAAAATATTAGCAGAAATATTTATCTGCTGTGTTTGGGTACTTTATAAAGCAGTGCTCCATGTTGTGCTTATTGAGATTCTGTTGTAGTACGTAAGGTATTGTATCTCAGAAAAATTAGATCTTTTAGGGCTATTGTGCTCCGCAGAAACCAAGGCTTTGTTACAGCCTAGATAAGATAGACCCGGAGAGCTACCATTTGGCTAGATAAGATAATAGAACAAGCAATGCATAACCTTTCTTAAGATCATACATTTTCCTCCTGCTTTTAATGTGTTGCTACGAAGCTGCGGGGGCTTCAGGCGTACAATACACTTTAGGGAATTAATAAATATGCAAAGCTGCTGAGCTGGTGTTCAACACATTAGGGGTCAGGGCGGCAAAAGTTTGCAGCCTGCAACCAAAAACAGCTTGTCTGGGAGCGGTCAGCGCAACCCGCTCACTCAGCAATCACCGGTGCTCGAGGAGGGAGCCCGCAGTGGCTTAGCTGCCTGCTGCAAGCACAGCCCGAGGGGGAAAATGGCAGCAAACACGGAGGAGAAGAATAGCAACGAAGACTGCGGTCGTCTAGGAGGCAACATTTGTATTAGTTCCTGCACGGTGGTGTCGGGGCTGACACAAGCCTTACTCAGCTGTGGACTGGCTCTGTCTTTACAACATGAGGCGCACAGAAGTGGCTAAACAAGTCCTCCAAAAGCATCACCATCTGAGTGGAAAGCAACGGGAAACACAAAGGGGCCGCATTCACACCTGGAGTAATGGCCCCACAATGTCGATGGAACTGTGCGAGGAGCGAATTTGCCCCATGGCCTTGATGCCTTTGTGCCGGTCAGCCACAAGCAGCAAAGCTGGGACCAGACCCAAGACGTTTGGCTATAGTTACGCTATGGAGCTTCAGCAGTCTGGCTCCAGAAATCCCGTTCGATATCCAGGATCCGGTGTGACACGTCCTGACAGCAGGCAGCTTCCAGCAGACCTCTGGAAAGCTGCAGCAGGTCTAATGCTGCAAATTCCCTCGACATCCCATCCTGAAGGGGCACGTCTGCATGTGAAATTAATGCAAGGCAATAAACTCCGGCACACAGCACACCCGACTTCGTTGCTTGTGGGTGCTGTGTTTGCATGCGCGCCCGCACTGCAGCACATTGAGCTGGGTCAGAGCACCCCCGGCTGGCAGGGGACGCTGGGGTGCTCTTGCCTGGCTCAGTGTGCTGCGGAGGGGCTAGCTGGGGCACGAGGGGGCTCCATGGTGGAGCTGGTGGGGAGGCAACCCCCCCTGGCACTGAACCACCCTCGTGCCCTGTCAACATCTACACATGCATTGCCGGGCACTAAATAACGCTGTCATAGGATAGCACTTGTGTTTGCAAGTACTAACCTACAGTGGTTAATGAGTTTCCTACAGCCTAACAGGGCCACATGTGTAGATGCTGAGATGTTTATTGTGAAGCTGCCTAATTAACTCTGCAGTAGTCTCGTGTAGATACGCCCAAGGTGTCTGCAACATTTAGCCCCCTGAGCAGGTATAGAAGTCTAATGGAGGAAGGCAAGAGGCCAAGCAATGGCCAAGCGGAGGAGCTTGGGAACCTGAGTGCACTCTCAAAGAAAACAATGACTGAGCCAAGATGAAGGTTTTGCCGCTGAGTGTTAATATGTAAAGCAGAGCTGATGTTTCAGATTGGCAGAAGACAATTGCCATGCTATAGTGCTAGTTTGAAGTGGAAAACCTGCGCTTCAATTACATTTGCAAGCTATTTCCAAACCTTGTTTTCATATCAAGTGTGGAATATTCCAGTATTAATTCTGCACTCGGCGATGAAGGCAGCATACCAACCACTTCACAGCAGGCCTGGCTTGCAGATGAGAGCTGACCTACGTGGGACAGTTCATTTGTATAAACGAGGATGGCGTATTGCATCACCAAAGGTCTAGTTTGAACGGGGAAAAAAGGTCCTCTTATGGCACCATGCACAAAACACTCCATTTATTCAGAACGGGGGCAGAGATTTCAGGCCTGTTTAAAAATGGGATTTGCAACAGATGAGGGACTCACGTGAGGACTGGTATTACAGGAGGTGAGGATGAATTAGAAAATGCAGCTCAAGAAACCCAGCAGTTGTAGGCGGGATCCAAGCTCAGGGCTGCTGCCGGCCTGTGGGTGATGCAAACATTTCTCGCGGGCCTGACGAGGTGCCACAGCCGATGGAGCAGGTAGCAGCACTGCTCCGAAGAGCCAGCGGTGCCCCATCCTTTTGGGCTGCAACCCCACAGCCATGCTTGCTCCCGGGCTTGTTACAACGGTAGGTTCAAAGGCAGGGTACTGCTGGAGCTGGGAGGCCCGCTCCTCCCCAGCACCCAGCAGAAGCCTGCTGCTCTCTGGGGCATCTCGCTGGGTGCTAATCACATAAAACTCTGCCCTTTTTGGTTTGACTAATTCAACAACTGGTGAATCTTGCACAGTATTTCAACTTGCATCTTCCACCGACTCCTCCCTCCAGCTCTGCAGAGGCTCAGATGGCCTTGGCTGCAATAAAGTGAGTATAACCAGATTAGCTGGGTCACCTGGAGTGTAGTCAAGCTCCTTGGTCTTTGTTTTACGAGGGGAAGCCTTACCCGTGCCGCTGTGATGCAGCTAAGGCAGCCTGTCCCCACTGAGCCACTGCACTGAGTAGAGAAGCTGTGCTAGGTAAATGGAGTGGTCCCTTGACACGCACAACACAAAAGAAAAGCCCAGGCAACCTCCTGGCCATTGAAGCTAGTCCTCTGCAGTTACAGGCAGCCACCGGTGTTCAGCTGAGCTGCCTCCTCCTGCCCAAAGGAGCTGGAGAAGACTCCAAGACCCCTCACCCCCTTTTCACCCTGATCTTCAAACCCTCCGGTGCTGGGGTATTAGTGTCCAGCTCTGAACTTCACCTCTGGCAATGCCTTGTGCTTTGGTTATAACCCACAGCCACTCTGGTCTGTGCTGCAGTTCTGGTTCCTTGCTTTGCTAGCTGCTTGTGCTTTGTGCTGCCCCAAAACGTGCGTTTGGAGGGCGCTGGGGCATCCAGGTATATGAATCTGCATCGCCGTAATTGCCAGGACAGGGTAAGAAACCGGGGTTGACCTAAGAACGATCTCCTTGTTGGTAGGTGTTTGCTCTGTTCCAGATCCCCGAGGGAGGAGGCAGCTCCTGATGCGACCACCTGAGAGCAACACAGGTGCAGAGGAGGAAGCTCAGGGCAGGAGATGTGGGAAATCCTTGTCTTCCAAGGCAGGCAGGCTGGCAGGCAGCATGATCCAGTGCTTCAGCACAGCAAGAGGATCTACTTTTTTAATTACTTGCAACAGCATCATTCTGGGTAGAGACAGAGGAACTTCCTTCCCAGCATCATCTCCTGTTCCTCTGTGGGAGGGCTATTAACCACCTCAGATAGCTCAAAGGCAAGCATGGTTTGATGGATGGAGGGCCTGGAGATGTGCCATGCTGGGGCTGCGCTTCCTCCATCCGCTTGCCTCTCTCTGTCGCTCACCCCCAGGCGTGGGCCTTGCCTTTGCATCCTCCAGCTCAGCTAACATGGAGCTTTGTTTTTAATTATCATGGCAGAAAAGGGACAGCTTGGTTTCAGAGGGATCCTGTTTTGCATCAGGACTGGAGAAGGGGCATTTTGGGCTTGTGGCACTTGAGCGCATCTCTTGAAAGCCAAGCTTAGTTCCTGGCCTTAAAGCAGGGGTTGCATGGCCTTGGGGCCCTGCTCCTCCCTGGGAATCAGGCACCAAATGCCCTCCAGAGTCAGAGTACTTGCAGACATTGGAGCAGCCGCGCCTGCAGTTCACCGTGGAGCAGGGTAACAGCAATAATCCCTGGTACGTGGGGTGGTCAGAGGAATTGCCCAGTTCGGCCATTCCTTCACTGGCTCTTCAAGCTCCTGCCAAGCTGTCTGCTTCATGCACTCAGGCCTTTCTGCTTTCTTCAGCTTGCCAAGCCCTCGGACTGCAGCTCTGACCAGCTCCACGCTTCACGTGATCCCTGGAAAGCGTCTCAGGTGTGGTGAGCTGCCTGGTGAAAACCTGAGTCATTTTTCCATGGCCTGTGGACCAGCTCGGCGCTCCTTCAGGCCCCTGGGGATCGCACGCTGCAGCTCTGTATCCCCGCGCATCGGAGCAGGATGCGCTTTCCCTTTGATGCTGGGCAAGTATTCAAGCACGTGTGGCAGCATCCACAGAGTATGTTCAAAGCAAGGGCAGGAAGGGGTGTAATTACACCCACAAAATTATTAGACCAGCTAATCACCTGAGCAGTGATGAGCACTTGTTTTCCAGAAAGCTGGCTGTAGTTCAACCTATGTTTTACCTGCCGGATGCAATCTGCAGTGAAATCCGGATCGGGGCAAGGCTGGGAGGACAAGCCTCACCAAGCAGAAGGCAGCACTCGCCTTTCTCTTTGATGTTAATGTACAAAACTTAATGTTTCTTGTTTAAAAACCAAGATTATTTAAACACAGTTGAAGTACTTAATTATGCTTGGGTTATTCAAAAGCAGAGAAAGGTCAGGGAATTCAAACTGAAAGTTGAAGTTTTGGTCCTAACTGCAGATGGCTCTGCTCTCCCCCACAATGGAATATATTAAGGAGAGTCGACCTTAATTTTGGCTGTGTTGGCTTTTGTCATTCGTGTCACAACATTGACGTTATTCCCACATAACTTTGTGTATTTAATTTTACAAGAGGCTGTGCTATTGAGCGCTGCCTGTAAATATTTGATCACTGCAGCTCCTCCAGGATTATCTTATCAAGAGTAAAGATATTAAAATAGAAATCTTGTCATGTTACTGCCTTTATATTTTCAGTCTGAGCGTTGATTGACAGAAAATGAACTGCCTGAACTAGCTCTAAAGTGCCTTTTCAGCGAGAGCTTTAATGCCAGGGGCTACTGAAAAAAAGGTATGGAGTCATCGGAAACTAATGCCTTGTTGTATTTATGTAGCTTTTCTGCCACAGATTAAAAAATATGAATCTACTAGGAGTCTCTTTACAAGTGTAAAAT